AAAGACTTATTTAGGAAAAAAAAAATTATTCAATATCCACATAATATTAAATTTATTTAAAACATATATTACAATAATTTACAAATATCATATACATAAATAAATAATTTATAGATGAGTTGAAATAGACAATTTCCTATTTTAATATTTTATATATTAAGAGCTAATTGTTTGATTTCATTTGAATACCTATATTCTTTTGGTTTTCGATTTTTATTTTCAATTTGTGATTTCACCAATAGACATATAGTTGGTGAGCAGTATTTTTCACAGACTTTCAGACAGGTCATGATGGAATAATCTTCAGCTAGTTCAGGATTACAACTTATTACTGACTCCAGTTCTTTTCTTCTTTTTGTTTCTGCGAAGAGCTCTTTCCTAAGTGACATTTTCCGTGGAGTTCGATCTGTTAGAGATGATGGAGTTTGACAATGGGTAGAACTCATTTCTACTGATGTCGAAGTGGATACATCCGACACAGATATCGTTGAATAGGCAGAGGATGTATCTAAAATAAAAATTAAATAGATATTGTAATAAAAAATTAAATAGTATTATAATATAATAATCAGTCTAATTAAGTATTTATAAATTATTTTAGAAATAGCTAAAGTTATAAGTAAAAACATACCAGGTGTTGAACATGATGGCAAGCACTCCACTGTTTCATTATCATTATCAGCAATAGTTTCAACAGCCTGTTCCTCTTTGTTTAATAGTGCATCTTCAAATAACGTTGGAATAGCATCAGGTCTAAGACGGTTCTGTTTTTCATTTCGAAACATACAGTTTTCAAAATGCAATGAACACAACCGATAATTTTTGTTCAAAACTGCTGCATCAATTCCTTTGAGATGGGACAATCCATATTTGTCAATCCAAACTTCACACCTATACAATAAATAATAATTTAATATTTCAATTAATTGAAATATATTTTATAAATGCTAAACAAATTACTTACCTAGAAGGATCCTTAGGAAAAGAAAAATGACTTACTAATGCCGGATCTACTTCTAAACTTTTGCAGTTTTTTATTGAACATTTAAGTATTTTTCGTTTTGCAGTTAAAAAGTAGTCCATTGCAATTGAAAAATTAAAACTACAGCAAGTGATAATCACTAGTCAAAATATAATAGCAAAACTCACAACAACGGTGAACGGAACACAACACACATGAAGCGCAGACAAACCACAATTCACGAATGATCAGTGCGTCGCTACAGATTTATGACATGTGTAGGCGGTTTGTTTACCAATAAACCATGTTTATAAACATTGTGTTTACAAACAAACCATTAATAATGGTGTTGAACAATGTGACCGTATGTAAAGAAAAAAGGGAATACATTTTTTTTCTTAAGTGGCAACACTGAGCGACATAAGCTTGTTATCAGCAAAAACTAAGAGTGTCACTTCTGGTTTAATCTATTCTGTGGTATAATACTGTTTCATGTAATTGTTCGCGCGTATTTTTTGAAAACAGCTGACGCCCGGCGGATAATCAATCAGCACGACATTTTTACTATATTATTTTTTCGTGAACTGTATTTAATATTTTAAAATAAATTATTTTAATTAATATAACTGATATTATTATAAAAACAACCCAGCACAGGGGGGTCGCGGCACAATGGTGACGTGGCATAGTTGGATCAAGTATAATGATATCTGACAGTGATTACAATCACTATCAACAAAAACGCTTTGATGCAAATCTTTAGATAGTGTTTAGTTTTAAAAATTGGTTGATTATTCCAAAAGCTACATGATCTGCTATTTCTTTATTTATATCCTGATTAAGATAGAGTATGTCGAATAAAAGAGGGATATAAATATTATTTCTCATAAAAATTGTATTGATGTAAAATGTAAAAAATAAAATCGAATATTTTCACACAAAAATAGCATTCGGTAGCTCTATGAAAGATGTATATAATACTACTTCTCATGAAAATATTGAATTGATCACATACATTTTTCAAAAAGTTATAGCATAATAAAGTTAAAAATGTAAAATACAAAATCGAGAATTTTCACTCAAAAATATAGCTTTAATTTAAGGTATATATAAAAGTGTCAGTCTTTCCGGAACACTTTCAAAAGTTAAGTTGAAAAAATTAATTTTTTGTGAAAAAGTTGTCATTTTAAATCCCTTCCTGTGGGCTGGTAAAGGATCAGATTAATAAAAAAAAATATANTTCCTGTGGGCTGGTAAAGGATCAGATTAATAAAAAAAAATATACCAAATGATAGGTAAAGACATTATGTATCTATAAAAAAAAATGATATTCATATGTTCATTTTTGAAAAAGTTATGGCAGTTTTAAGTAAAAAAATTGAAAAAATTTCGAAAATTAGCGATTTTTAAATTTGTA